TCTAAAAATTCATACAACAAAGTCATAAAGTGTCTCTACGAATCTTTGTTTTCTATCTCACAAATGTCTATTGCTAATGGGAAAAATGCCACCGTTAGCATCCATAGAAACTGCTGAAAGCAGTACATCACCATAAGGGTCTTTAAGGTGACACCCATCCACACCTATGAAATGCCTACAACTTTTTATGAACCTTTTCTTTTGTGCTACAAAGCCTAAGAAACACCTATGAAACTTAGGAACTTCAGGAATCCCCTCTGGATTAATTGTCTTGACACTGTACATAAAACCTAGATTGGTGTGCTTCACAATGTAATCATATTTCAACAGCCATGAGAATGATTTTGCATGGTCCTTGTCAACCTCCCTTTTGCCCGCCTATTAGCCCTATAAAGTTTATGTTTAGACAAATCTAGATAATGTTTCCTGCTTAGCTCCTCATACAAAGGTTTAATTGATGATCTCTTTTGTGATATGATAAAGTCTCCCATTTTCTCAGCCACCCAAGCACTTGTTGCACTTGGATTATTGTAAACCCTCAAGAAAGTATGTGTTTCTGTATACTTCCTAATCTGATAAGATATTTTATCAGCCATCAGAGTAGTGTATATATGAAAGGGACAACCAGGTTGCTTATATTTTGTCTTAAATATTCTTTTCTCATTGTGTATGTTATCCACAACAAACCCCTTCTAAATTAAATAATCCTGAAACACCTTCCTAAAATGATAAACTCCTTCAAACACTTGACCAACTTTAAATTAGATTTTCCCACCAGTCCCATATGCAAACTGTTGACTTTTCATATTCTTGCTAAACCTAGAGACTTCATCATCATCCTCATTAGACCCTGACCTGATTACATCCTCATTGTCCTTTTGGTATTTAGACAATTCCCCTTAGACCCTGACCTGACTAAATCCTCATTGTCCTCTTGGTATTCAAACAATTCCCCCTAGACCCTTACCTGACTACATCCTCATTATATCCTCACACCCCCCCCCCCCCCCCCCCCCCCCCCCCCCCCCCCCCCCCCCCCCCCCCCCCCCCCCCCTTTCCTTTTCATGCCCCTTAACCTGACTATTTTGATTCTCCCTACCACTTTCCTACCCAACCTGGGCACCATGTTCATCCCCTCCTCAGCACCAATTCCCTACCCAACCTCATTATCTTTATCATCATCACTCTAGTGAAACTCATCTACAACACCCCTTTCATCTAGATCATTAGCTTGCCTTACAGGAGATTCAGACCCACTATCATTCTCACACTAATTAGGTGATTCTAATAAGCCTATACCTTCAACACATTCTAATGTTTTGGCTTCTATATAAACCCTAATTGTTCTCATACCTTTAATATCATATTCCTGAAAAATGAAGTTCATATCATTATCCCCATTCAATAAGTATCTAGCCCTTGATAAGGGTAGCTCAACCTCAACCTTGAACTCTTCATCAGGGTACAATTGGACAACCTCATTCTCATCAGCCGCACAATGCTTCATATCTTTAATAAAAGATATATAACTATATTCATCTGGATCAGCATTCAATATCTTGTGTTTAGAACCAAACACTTGAATTTTAAGGTCAAACAACCTTGGTTTTAGCCTGAATAAACAAACACAAACAGCAAAAACATAAACCAAACATGCAACAACAGCATAACACAAACATGCCCAAAAAGATTTCTGGGTATGCGGCATTGTTACACCAGAGGTCGTCAAGATCTGCTGGGCAGTTTTTAAGACAATCATTGGTTTCTAGCCTAACTACCCTTAAAAACATAAAACATGCAGTAGCAAAAACAGAACTCAAACATGCAGCAATAACATAACCCAAACATGCAGCAAAAACTGAACTCAAACATGTAGCAATAACATAACCCAAACATACAGCAGCAGCATAACACAAAGATGCCCAAAAAGATTTATGGGTATGTGACATTGTTATACTAGAGGTTGTCAAGATATACTAGGCAGTTTTTAAGACAGTTACTCGTTTCCAACCAAACAACCCTTAAAAACATAAAACATGCAGCAGCAAAAACTGAACTCAAACATGCAACAAAAACATAACTCAAACATGTAGCAATAACATAACCCAAACATGCAGCAATAACATAAACTTGCAGCAGTGAAAACATAACCTAAACAAGCCAAAAAATCAAACATGCATCAGCAACATAACACAAAGATGCCCACAAAGATTTTTGGGTATGCGACATTATTACACCAGAGGTTATCAAGATCTGCTAAGCAGTTTTTAAGACAATCACTGGTTTCCAGCCAAACTACCCTTAAAAACATAAACATGCAGCCAAAACTAAACCCAAACCACCAACCGTAACCCTAATCCTCCAACAAAATCACCAAACATCACCACCACCATACCATCATTTTTTTGGCCACCAACCACCGCCTTACCACTACCTTAACATTGTGACACAACCACCATCACACCATACCACCACGCTACCACCATCATCACCATACCAAACATAGACCACTCACATAATCATCTAACAACACCACAAACATCACAACAAAGCCCCCAACACAAATATAGACATAAAATTAAAAAAAAAAAAAAATGTGATGCAATATACCTAGATGTAGACCACGTCGCCATAGCTTGTTGGTTGAACGAGGTGGTTGTCGTTTACGATTCTAGTTTAGGGTTATCTATGTTGTCAATGCCTACGGTCGTCTGCCAAATGAAGGAGGAGGTTTTTGGTTGTCATTTACGATTTTGGTTTAGGGCTTTCGTCGGGTTTTGCTCCACTCGTCATCCACAGTTGAAGGAGGAGGTTTAAGGTTGTTGTCGGGTTTTCTGGGTTAGGGTTGCTTGGTGTCGTAAGGTTTTGTTCCACTCATCGTCCACGGTTGAAGGAGGGTTAGGGCTATCGTTGGGTTTTCTGGGTTAGGATTGCTTGGTGTCGTTGGGTTTTACTCCACTCGTCGTCCATGGTTGAAGGAGGAGGTTTGTAGATTTCGTCGGGTTTTCTAGGTTAAGGTTGTTTGGTGTCGTCGTCGGGTTTTCTGGGTTACTCGTTGTCCACGGTTGAAGAAGGAGGTTTGTAGGTGTCGTTGGGTTTTTTGGGTTAGGGTTGTTTGGTGAAAGGGTTGAAGCCTTGAAGGAGAAGGTGAAAGGGTTGTCGTTGTTTTTGTTTTCTCTTAGGAATGTGAATGAGAAGAAAGAGATAGAATTGCTAGGTAAACGAGAAGAGACACAAACATTTAATTCAGCTGCCAAATCCTACACGTTTTTCTACGTTTCCCTATAACTGAGTTGACATTTTAATTCAAATTAAAGTTAATTGACTAACTTGCCCTTCCACCGTTAACAGAAATGAGATTATGTTTATTTAAGGGTACAGATTTGTAATTAATGAAACCAGGGGTGGGAATATGCAGATCATCCAAACCTTGGGTGGGAAAAAGTCTTTTACTCATTAAATATTTCTTAAAACATAATTTAAACAAATATATATTTATTTAAATATAGATCGACATTCATTTTAAGAAAAATGGGCTTTTCCAATGATCTTTTTCCAACACCAACATTTTCGACGGCATAAATCACTTATTCTGATGTTATATGACATCAGAATAGGTGTTTTGTCTTTCCCAACTAAGGCTGCAAATGAACTGAACAGTTCGCAAACAACTCGATGTTCATTCGATAACAGTTCGATATTCGTTCGATAATATATTCGATCGAGTTTGAACATGGGCTATTCGTTCGATTATATTCGCGAACATTATACGTTTGACTGATCCATCCGTTTGTGAACAATCTGTTCGATTGTTTGTTCGTTTATGTTTGAAAAACATGGTATGCATTATTATAATTTATATATTTTTTTTCTTTTTTATATTATATTTGGTTTAGTTTGGATGAATTTTTTTTAATGGTAATCAATAATAAAATATTATGAGATAGCCTTTCAATTAATAAATAATAAATATAAAATGATAAATTGAAGAACATAACATATTGTATAATCAAGTGATGTATAGCATAACAAATTTAATAATATAATAGTTTAGTTAAATATAGAATGTTAAATTGATGAACATAACATATTGTATAATTAAGTGATATATAGTATGACAAATTTAATAATATAATAGTTTAATTAAATATAATATGACAAATTTATGAATATAACATATTGTATAATCAAATGATATATTGCATGACAAATTTAATAACATAATAGCTTAATTAAACCTAAATTAATCACACATTTGTATTAATCATATATTACAATAAACTCTCGTACCACTATGAATTTATAGGTATTGATACCAAATATATATGTAGACAGTTATTCGAACGAGTTGGTGTATATTTTTTATTCGAACAGGCATTCGAACGAGTTATTCGAACGAATACGAACTGACCTTTTGTTAATCGAACGAACATGAATAGTCATCCTATGTTCGTTCGAGTTTGAACACAAAATCGAACAATCGAACATTTTTATCGAACGAGTTTCAAACGAGGTTGTTCGTTCGTGTTCGGTTCGATTGCAAGCCTATTCCCAACACAATCAAAATATACTTTTTAAGCCTTTTGCAACGCAGAATTAGCGTCACCATAGACCTAGATATTAATTTTTAGTATGTTGCGATGTGACACTGGTTGTAGGTCTTCTTGAGCTTTTTAGCATGTTGTGACATGGCATTGAATTGAAATCAATGCATGCCTTTTTAGAATATTCTCAATTTGTTTAAACTTGTTTTCTGTACATTTTGCTTTTACATGCACTAAACTTCATACATTGCTGATTCCTCAGAAGCATGAATGCATTCATACTACAATTTTGTCATTGTAAATGGGTTTTTACTTTTTCGGATCCAGAGTCTTTGTAATAACTTATATGCACCTGTTCAATCACGAATGCACATTGATGTGACATGACAAGTACTTGAACAAATGCACAAACACACTTCTCCCACGGAAGAAATTTCGTTGAGTGTAATATAAGCATTTAAACATGTTAATGGCCTCCTCCTTGACTGATAATCGGATATATATTCATTACTAAGATCAGTACATAGAACCATCTATTCATTCTAACTAACAAAAAGTTATACAATCAGCAATATTCAAAATACAGACAAAAAATCACGAGTTATCAGCAGCTTTTAAGATAATTCTCAAGTTTTCAATTTGGGGGTGGTGCAGGGACATTGGGCGGAGGAGGTGGTGCCATTCCCATATGCTGCATGGGGGGTCTTCCTAGCTGTTGCTGCTGTGGGGGTGGTGGAGGCCGCCAGACAGGTGGTTGACCACCCATTCCCATTGGTGGTGGGGGTGGCCTTTGATGCATTGAAGGTACCTGAGGAGGTGGTGGCATGTTTGCTGGGGGTGGCCTGTACTGCATACCTGGCGGAGGCAGGACCTGTTGCGGTACTCCTTGACCTAATTGCTGAGGCTGACCCTGCCAAGCTGCTTGTCCAGCAACCTGAATGGACGCAAAGGCTCCAGATTGTGGTGGTGGTGGTGGTGGTGCTGGGCGAATAGCTGGAATAGGACCTGGAGCAGCACCATTTGCAAAAGGCCGAGGAGGCATGGGTCCCCCAACAGCACCATTGGCCTGAGTATTCTGAAGTGTCGGAGGTCCACTGGCAAACAAAGTGTGTGGTCTACTCTTCTGAGTACCTGGATTATTAGCCGCCAAAATTCTCTCTGCATCAAAATGGGTAGCAAAATCCAATTAGTTAGTAAGGGAATGACTAAAACTTGAATCCTTTCTGTGTGCAAGGCTTGTGCAACACAAATCCCCTGATTTACATCTATGGAGGATAAGCAGCACTCTTTAATTTCAAATTTTTTTTTTTTTTTGGGGAAGTGGTCCAGGACATTGTATAGAAAGAATAAAAAAAAGCCTAAAGGAGGGGATTCCCCTTCAAACTACAAAGCTTAGACACGCCCAAGGTGAACAGAGGAAACGCAGAAGAAACTAAGGAAAAAAACCTAGAAAACCAGCCAAAAGGCCTAAACAAAACAAGGGTTAAGCCAAACTAGTGCCTCCCATTCCTATACCACCGGTAAAGATATTGTGCTTAATAAGGCTATTCACATTTCACACTGCGATTACCAACCCAAGCATCCCACCCCATCCTTCTAAAAGTAAGGTTATTCGAATTATCCCTTAATCCCTACCAGTACACAAGAAAATAGCAGTGATTAGTCATTTTGCTACTCCAAACAGGATTGTCATTCCTGTTTGGCTCAGCAACATTACCATCCCCTACCCTAGTATTCCGACAAAACCACCACATCATAAAAGGATATTTATCCTTCCACCCCTACCAACACACCCAACAGGTAAACCCCACTCCTCAATAACAAGGCGCACCCTCAAAGAGTCTTTGAACCTAAGGCTACAAAGATGAAGTCTTAACTTCTTCAAAGATGATCTTGTCCACATCCTTCCGAATCCTATGAATACCCTTGAACAATCTATAGTTTCTCTCCTGCCAAATAAAATAGATCACAGCCCCAAAGATTAGTCTCCTTATAACAGCCCTTATATTCTTCCCTTTAAAGAGGTTTGCACACCGCAAAACAAGATTATCCCAGTCCATAGTTCGAATAAGAAAATGTCCCTTGGTTTGAGCAGCAAGCCATAAGACATTAGAAAAAGGGTATCTAAAAAACAGGTGATCATGCAAGTCCCTGGGCCCTCCACACAATTCACAACTCAGAATTTCAGGACCCCTCCAAATTCTCATCCTATCCTGAGTAAGCAACTGGTAAGTGCATAACAAGAGAAAAAAAACACATAAAAGTGGCAGCCAAATGAGCAAGAAGCCTCACCAGCTGGGGTACCATGGCGCTCTCCTTTAGTGTCTTTCTTATAAGCATATGAGACAGTAATTTGCCGGTTACAAAGGTACTGACCATTCATTGCCTATTGACAATATAAGAATCAATTAGAATGAAATCAACATTTGAACAAAATAGACCAAACCGAGTCATAAATGTTCATGGAGTGTTAGTCTTCCAAAGCCCTAGACTACAAACAAGAAACATCAAGTAAAATAATTGTATCAGTACTAATATTGCGGTACTATTCTGAGTTGGAATTACCACCAAGCTTCAAGAGACCGTACTTAATTTCAACAATTATAACTAAAATAAACACAACCAGAGCTTCATCTAGAGTCTAGATCCTAAACCATTGAATGTCGGATTTTCCTCAGGAAAAAATTGGTGATTGTATTAGGTTTGTGCAAGGGACATACCTCAATAGCTGCATCAGATGCCTCAAAAGAATCATAACTTATGAAACCAAAGCCACGGGAATTCCCAGTATCAGGATCTCTCATTATCTGAGAAACAAAAATGTATACATTTGAGTCCAACAACATACAAATTTCACCTATTGAAATCAAAGGAAAAAATTACAGCAGAAAAGACTCATTAAAAAATGACGCTAATACAAGTTTTCCAAGAGACAAACTGATAGGAACCTCTCCCAGCTCAACCAACCACAACAAGAACAACGAACAACAATCAAGATAAACCCAGCAAAAATACCAGCAAACTGTAGCCAAAACCCAGAAAATAACAGTCACTTGTATTGATATTCCAACAAACAAACTACACAGACAAATGAACTAGCAAAAGCTATCAACTACACAATCAAAACTCAAAACAAAAAAACCCAAGATAGTGCTGGACTTCGGGGCCAGCTACCCCTAAATACTAGACTCCGAGGGCTTCTATTTTCTTCTCTCCTCTAGTCTGCTCTCTCCCTCTGTTTTTATCCTCCAGCTCTCTCTCTCTCCCTAACTGAATTCCTTTGCTGTCCCAACCCACAATCGCCACCTGTCCCAGCCTAAACCCATGGAAATTTCCTGCCAGCTCCTTTCTATTCTCTACTTGCGACCTTATTTCTCTTTTCCTACACTCTCATCATCCACGTCTCATCACAAACTAAGGTTAATAGACTTGCCTATGGGTAGGGAACATATTCTTCATTTTATCTCTTCATATGTATATAGGGGTTAAGTTCAAGATCCCCACATTTATTACAAAATTGTTGAGCCATTTGATTAATGAATTTGAATGGTTGAGATTAAAAAGAAAATTCAAAAACTGCATTATGTATGTACATGTCATAGAAACAAAGTTGTATAATATCCTCACACATGCACGCAAAAAAGGCAAATTGTCCAAAAAATTAAAGATTTCTATCCAATATTAAATAATTTCTGTCTCAATTAAGCAATACCTAAGTCTCTAATAAATGTTATCATGCAAATGCACATGAAGAATTAAGTTGATCGATTAAGCAATGAATAAGTGATGACAATTAGCCAAGCACAACTGTGCCATTTTCTTTTATCCTCTACTTCAATTATTCAATGTTAACATTTTGCTTCCTTCAGAGTTATAGGAATAAGGCCTCTCTAATATTTTGGTGTAGGAATGGGACTCAACCTTTAACAGTATAATGACATTGACACATCTGTTTAATTTTATAGCTTGGAGAACCATTAGAACAAGAAATTTTCATTTGGGTAGTTATAATCATTGCTCAGGCTGCAGTACAGAATTAAAACCTCCCAAGTAAATTACATAAGAATTTCCCTAGTACTCTATCACAACTCAGGGCCAGTACACTAACCTATATAATTTAATAAATCACAAAGTAATTAATGATAATAGTAAACAGAATTCATCAAATATATACAAAAAATTTATTAGAACAGAACAAATTAACTATTTAAACATCCATAAAGCCAACATGTAGACTGACATATGGCACACCAAAATATAAGCAAGGCAGAAGTTACTGGCATTACCTTGGGATTTGTAACAATGACTCCAAATGCACTGAAAGTATCATAAAGTAGTTTCTCATCCACATCCTGAAAAGATAATTCAGGTCAGAAACAAATTCAAAACATGTATATATTGTTTCAAGAACTACTTAAGCTTTTGATACAAATAAAGAAACTTACAGGATCAAGGTTTCCAATAAAAAGGTTTGCCCCCACATCCAAGCTCTTTTTATCTTGGGATGCCTGAATCAACAAACATTAAGATTAAAGATCATATAATCCATTAAATCACATATAACTATATGGGAACTTCAAGAAAAAACTGTAGAACATTTTTGAAACAAACATACATCATAATTGACTACGAAGTACCCAAAATAAGATATAGGACAAGTGATAGATTGGGAAAAGAAAACTAGTGATAGATTGGAAAAATAAAACTGTATACCTTATTCACTCGTATAGGCTTCCCATATAGCTTAATCATGTTAAGCACTTTAATTGCCTGCACATTTGAGAACAGGAAGGCAGGGAAAATTAGGAGCTGAACTACAAAGTTAAGCAGTGAGATAAAAACAAGCAATGAATCAACTGTAGAAAGGGAGAATGACTCACATAATCGGCATCTTCTTCACTTCGGAACTCTACAAATCCATATCCTTGGTGAAGGTTTGTCACTCTATCTTTTGGAACATACACGTTAACTGATACACAAGCAGGAGAGAGAAAGAAATTAACATAAGCACGGTTAAATCCTTATAGAAAGCTCAAATCAGCAGCTTGCACAACAATTTCCAAACAGATTGCCTTTGTTACATTCTTATTTCAAAACTTAATTTCTTAATCCCAATATTTAAGAATTTAATGACCTGAACCCAACGATGTACTAAAATAAATGTTCTAAAAAAGTTTAATTCAACCAGCAAATGATTCCCTAAAGTACAGTGAAAACCTAACATAGACTTCCCAAGCAAACCAAAGCATAATAGCAATACATTTTGTTGGAGCTTAAACACAATTGTTTGGTGTTTTTATGTAAAAAGGTAACTTAACATGATAATGGAGTCAGTTCAACCAAACAGTCTTGTTCTGAAATTCCCAATCATAGTAATTAAATTATAATAAATTCTGTTAGAAAGCTTTTAGTAAAAAGTAAAAAGAAAAGAGTAATGAAACATACCAACAGGACCAGCTTGAACAAACAATTCCCACAGTAACTCTTCGGTAACCTGAAACCATACGAACAGAGTCAAATCACAAGCATATAAAGTTTGAAACAATGGTCTTTGCGTTACGCAGTAATAACAGTGATAACCTGTGGATCGAGATTGCCGACATAAGCAGTGGCGTCTTGGTTTCGCTCGGCAGAGTGTTGGCCGAGCAAATTGGCTCCGACTCCAGGAGCGATTCGAGTCGTCATGGATTTGCGAAACCTAAAACCCTCTTGCTTGCCAGAAACCACGAAGGCTTTACTTCACTGTATTTGGGCTTGGATTTGCGAAACCTAAAATGAGAAGAGAAGATTGTAGATTGAAGACCTATTAGAAGGAAGAGCTGGGAATGATAAGAGAAGATTCTAAAGTGAAGACCTATTGGAAGGAAGTGCTTAGAAGAAGGGAAGAACCTGCTGTAGAGCTGTTGTCAAGTGAAGATTCATGGAGGGTGAGCGAAGACGGTCGACGGTGACTGGAAAGACGGCAGCTGTTCGTGAAATGAAATGAAAATTGGTTTGGAAGAGAAATGAGAATAAATCGGGAGGATACCTGCTGTAGTGCTGCTGTTGTGTGTTGTCAAGACTCAAGTGAAGATTCACGGAGGGCGAACGACGGTCGACGGTGGCTGGAAAGACGGCAGGCGGCAGATGACAGTGAGCTGAAAAGAAAAACGGTTGGTCGGCGCAAAAGACACAGGTTTGAGACAAACTTTGCGGGTTTGGGTCCTTTTGGGATAGGAGAGGGTTAGATTTAGGGTTTAGAATTGAAAAAAAAAAAAAAATTAATTTAAAAAAACCGGTTTAGCAATCCGGATCCGGTTAACCCTTTTTTAAACCAAACCGAATAGCTTGTTTGGTACATTATTTGAAATATGATTTTTTTAAATAACTATTTTGAATAAGATAAGATATGATTAAATCAAATAGGATAGGATTTGATTAAATCAAATAGGATAAGATTATGATAATGTGTTTGGTACATTCAAAGATGAAAAAGTGGTCCGACCCAGCCCAACCCATGACAGGTTAGTGCAAATTACGAGTTGGGGCTAACCCGGCTTGCCCTTGCTTGCCTCTTTGTTCAAAAGGGTTAGCCTAGCCCGACCCGTCAACCCTAACCTAACGGGTTTTTGTGCTGGTCGGCCCGACAAAAAATTATTTTTTTATTTTTATTTTTTAATGTTTTTTATTTTGTGTAATTTTTTTTAGTTAACTTTTCAAAGATCAATTCAATTAAATTGATTTTTTTTTTTCAAATATCAAACTTCAAATTGTCATTAAAAGGAAAATTTATTTTAAAAAAATCTACACCTCTACACCTCTATTGTTAGCACTTGCATTATCTAAAGTTAGACTTATTACTTTTTGAACAGTATCATATTTTTTATAAAACTTCAACAATTTTATAATAAACTTATTGACCACTATGATTCACATCCATTAATTTAAATCACAATAAATATTTATTTAATTTACATTCGTTATCAAAATAATGACCAGTCACACAAATATAATCTTGTTTAGCTCAACCACTCTAAATATCGACAGTTAAAGTCACATTAACATGACAACTATGTATTTTATTTCTTAACTCTAATTTCATTTTCTTAAACAAATTTATTAAATCATTTCTAGTTGAAATTTTAGAATAAGTTTTAAATTCTGGTAAAAATGAATTTTAAATAAATCTTTCAAAATATTTATCTTCAGTCATACTAATAGGTTGATCAGTTGCAGCAATATATAAAGTTAATTGTTCTCTATATACAGAATTATAATGTCAAGTATTACTCGTCCTAGTTATTTGAGTTTTATTGGTTTCTCTATTTCTATTATGATTTATATGTCTACCAACATGCTTTTTTAAAGTATTAATATCATTACCTACATCAACTTTATAAATATTTTCACAATATTTGCATCTTTATTTCTTTACTTGAACTCTATTTTCTGTCTCATAAAACTTTTCAAAATGCACCCAAACGTCTGATGTGTGTCTGTCGTCAGTTCTGGTAGCTGCAGTTGATGAACCCACTTCTACTTTAGATGGAGTTGGATGATGACGACGATTACGAGAACGACCTTTGGAACCACTGGGAGCTATAGCAGCACAGGGAGGAAGGGGGGAAATATTATGAGGTGTATCAAATTCTGAGAATGGGAAAGCAAGATTGTTTGAATCTACTATGTTTATGTTAGTAAATTCAAGAGGATTAGGATAATTTTCTTCATCATCGAAATTGATGGTGGGATGGAAATATCTATCCATTCTAGTTAAAAAAAAAAAAATAGATATAAAAGAATTAAAGCTGGAGAATTGGAATTTGGTAATATGAATTGAAAATTGCAAAAACTAATAAAAATTAAAATAAGAGCAAAATGAGAGCAAATTGACAACAAAGAGATTTAAGAGCTTTTTATAGAGAAAATAAAAGAATGAGAGAATTTGGGATGGGAGGAAATATGAGAAGTTTAGGCCCTATGTATAGAGAAAAATGAGAAAAGAAAATGACTAAAAATACCCATTCAACTGCTATAAAACGGTTATATTTTAAGGGTAAAATGGGTTTTTTGCAAAAAAAAAAAAAAAAAAATGGTTGACCAGCAGGTTTCCAACCGCTAACTCGGTAGGTTGGACAAGTTTTTTTTTTTTTAAAATGACCCATCAGGTTGGCCTATGAAGGTTCAGCCTGCTCAGCGGGGGATACCTGGGTCGAGTTGAACCCAGCCTGCCCTTAAGCCGGGTCAGGTCGGGTCAGTCCCAAGTTGAGGCAGGCAGGGTTAGGATTGAGCCACCTAACCCAGCCCATCTTTTTTTCATTTCTAGGTACATTTTTGGAAAAGGATTTTCTGAAAATATTTAGATTATTTTTTAAACCCCTACATTTGTTAATTACTCCCCCCCCCCCCCCCCCCCCAAAAAAAAAGTTTATAAATTAACAAAAACACCCCCACTCACCCAACCTGTGGCCACCACCACCAGACAATGGTCAACAGTCGCTAGAATGGTGCACAATCAACTGGATCTGGTTGGTCGTGGGCCAATCTAGCCTTTTTAGGCTAGATCCACTGTATATTTGGTCTGAAATTATACTTGCTTGAAGACTCTTGCACTTTTATCACACGGGCTCTCAGAGTTTGAAACTATATGATGATACCCCTTTTACCTTTGTCAGATTAAGAATTTTATTTCTATTAGAATATTAATCCATTATGTGCTGTGAATAATCATTATTCTTTAGGGTGCGTTTAGTTTAGAGAATGTTGGATTACTGAAAATATTGGATTACTGAAAAGTTATATTACCTCGAAGATTACTGAGAATCTTTAGGAAAGTGTGTTTGGTGTTTGGTTAGTTGGAATAAATTGGTGGGAATCTTTAGGAAAAGTTAACAAAATACCCTTAACTACCCAAGACCACCGTCGGCCACCAGCATCAGTCGCCGTAATAGTGCATGACTTGCGGGATCTGGCTGATCATGCCCCAAAAACGACAAGATTTGGCGTTTCTATGGTTGTTTCACGACCAAAGATGTGGCCATGAAACGAGCACAGATCTGGCCGTGAAATGGCCATAGATCTAGTTGTTTTCTAGCCATGGATCACAAATTCATGGCCATTTTCGGCTTTGCCGACGCATGGTCGGCCATATACGATCAGTCGTGCGCCATTCCATCAACTGCCAGCGGCGGCCGATGGTGGTGGCTGGCTGCTGGCAGTGGCTTGGGGTGGATGGGGGTGATTTTGCTATAAATTAAAGTTTTATATGGCTATGGTGTTTTAGCAAAAATTCAAATGTAAGGGGTTAAAAGAAATGATTAAAAAAAAAATAATAATAAATACTATTATATTAATATTTAACAAGGAGGACAATTTAGCAATCTATATAACATACCCACTCATTTATCCTCCTAACTAAACATATTATTCACTAATTTATTCAAACCATTCAAGGTGATATTTCTTTCCGTTAATATAATATATCTCAATAATAAAATATTATATGATCCAAACTGTCCTTATAAGTTATATGTTTTCATCTGTTGGCATTAGAGTTACACTATGGCTAAAATTCATAAGAAAGAAGCCATTCGAAAACCAAATAACGATCCAAGCAAATAAGTTTGTTGTTGCAAAGAATACGGTATGCCTTTCAAACGATATAGCATAGTATGAAGTAATTAATTTAAAATTAAATATTTTATATAATAATTAATTTGAATAACATTAATTAATTTATGAATTAACTGGTATCTGAAATAATTCCAAAATTTTATTTATGAAATTTTAAATAAAAAACATAATAATTAAAAAAATTATTTTGATATTAATAACTAAGTAATTAATTAATTTTTTCTAAATTATTTTAATTGTTAAATTTAATTTTATTATATATAACAGAATATTTTTTAGTACAATGTTACACAAACGCAATATAGTATTATATATGATCAAGTATTTTTTAATATAATACAATCTAACATAGTTTAGTATAAAGTGTCAAACGTACTCTAAATACTTATTACATAGGGCATGTTTGGCTTATTATTTCTGCCCATATTCCCAATCCTATTCATTATTCCAGAAATATTACCCTATTTTTTTTAATTACTTTTAAACCCTATAAGGTTATTAATTTCATTAAATACACCTTGAAAAAAAAGTTTAAAAATTATCAAAAGCACCCTACGACCCATACTTGCCAGATAACGACCTACCTGTCGACCAGAAATGGTCGAAAGTTCACCGATCTGGCCTTTTCTGGCCAGATCCACCACGGATCTAGCTGGGAAAGGCCAGATCTGGCCGTGAACGACGACCAAAGAAATGGGGGTCAAATCTTGGCCATCGTTGATTGAAAATGATGACCATATCTTTGGCTATCGCTGACGGCCAAAGATGGCCATTGGTTTGGTCTTTTCTGGCCGTCGCGGCCATAACAGGCCGTAGATCTAACCTTTTCCACGGATCTGGCCGAAAAAGTCCATAAGGACGCGTTACGACACAGATTCGACCGGTCTGTGTCGTAACATGATTTTCCGGCCAGATTCCGACGGTGGTGGCCAGAATCTGGCACTGTAGGTGGTGAGGGTGTTTTTGTCATTTTATATATTAGGGTATTTAATTAAATTAGCAAACTTAGGGGCTTTTTCATAAATTTTTAAATTTTACCTCGTAATACTCCCCTATCCAACTACCCAATATTATTCTCAAAATCCTATCCAAAATAATAAACCAAACGCACCCATAAGTATTAGTTTGAAATGGGCCTGTTTGGTAAAAGATTTTAGAATATGTTTGGTACACTTTTTGAAAACATTTTTTGAAAACATTTAGATTATTCTTAACCCTTACATTTGTTATTTAGTTAACACCCCTCACAATAAAAGTTTATAACTGGCCACCACCGTCGGACGATGGCCGACAGTCTTTGGAATGGCACACGACCGACTGGATTTGGCTGATCGTGTGCTAATCTGGCCTTTTCCAGCCAGATCCACTGTGTGTCTGGCCGGAAATGGCCAGATCTATTATCAGAATTTGGTCGTCAACAACGACCAATATAATGTTGTCATCATCGGCCTGATCGGCGTACAATTGGCCATATCCGATCGATTGTGCATTGTTTCGGTGTTGGTGGTGGCCGGCAATGGTTGCTGGCAAGCAACTGTGACTTTGGTGGATGGGGGTGTTTTTGTTAATTTATAAACTTTTATTGTGAAAGGTAATTGTTAAATGTTTTAAGTTGAATAAAATATGATTGGATTTTAAATTAAATAGTCAATATTAAAACAAACATGTTTTTCACTGTTTAGAATAGATAGTAGAATAGAATAGAGTTTGAAAAGTTGAACAAACAGGGGGGCAAACTATTAGGGTGCCATTTGTGAAAGCATTTATGAAATTCTTGGGGGCAATTTGATTAAAAAAGCCATAGTTATACATACACTTTCTAAAACTGTAGGGGGGTAATGAATTTTTTTCTCGGGAAAAAAAGGGCTTTCTTTGATAAAAAAAAAAAAGGGTTCAGCCTGTTTATATAAAAAGGTGATGTGGATTGTGCCCGACCCGACCCGACAAAGATCTGACTGACAAAACCCTAGGCTAGAAAGCTTGGACCTTTTCGAAGCTCTTGCTGTTTTCCTATTGAAAGAATCAACAGCATAAACTTAAAATTAATTGAGATAGAAAGAGTAATGGCGGTACCGCGCAATGGAATGATGGAAGAAGATGATAACGAAGAGGACAATGCTCTCTTCGAAGAAGATGGCGTCAATATCGACCTCGAATCCGACACTCCTCCGCATCTCCGCGAACTCGCCGCCGCCGCTCAGCTCGGTGACGTTCAAGCCCTCCGTCTCGCTCTAGGTTTTTATCTTTGTTCTTTTACTTCTTTATTTTTCGCTTTCAATGCTTCAGCCATCACTGAACCCTAGGATTTTATCTATCAATTAAAGTTATTGCTTATTTATTGCAACTTCATGACATTGTGACCTAAATGACCACAATTTGTTACTAAGGTTTTATTTAATATGGTGCTTGGAATTGATTTAAGTTTGAAGAGTGGCTGGATTTGGGCATTTGGCTGGTGTGAGTCACACCATTTTGTTTGTATTTTGTGCCTTAAATACAAGGAAAAAGTAATTTGTAACTTTTTTGGCTGGTTGTCATGTAACCTGTGTTCTGATGCTTGTTTCGAATTGCCGCAGATAACTTGAGTGGTAGCATTGATGAACCGGTTGAAGATGGAGACACTGCTCTCCATCTGGCCTGTCTATATGGCTACGTGCCTTGTGTCCAGGTCAGTTTTCTTATATTTGCGATTAGAAAGAGGGTTTTTGATAAATTCTGTGAAACTTTGGGCAAGGTTTCTCGCTAAATTTTGAGTGCCAGAAAACTCTATGATTTGAGTGTGTTCTTTCTCTTTTTATAGTTACTCTTGGAAAGAGGGGCTAATATGGAGGTTAGGGATGAAGATGGAGCAATACCTCTGCATGATGCTTCTGCTGGAGGTGGGCTATAATACTTGTTATTATCGTCATGTCCTAATGATTTTTACATTGAAATTTTTTATATCATATTAATTTATTTGCTGAATAATTTTGCAGGATTTATTGAGATAGTACAATTTCTCATTAACAGTGCTAACAACACAGAACGTGTGAAAAGGATGTTGGAAACGGTTGATGCAGAAGGTGATACTGTGAGTATTCTCTAAACCTTGAATCCATTTCAAGTTTTATTAGGGAGTTTGAAAGTTGAATTAGCTGATTAATACTTCGGTCAATTATAAAATGACAATTCTTTTTTCTGGACTAGGTTGACTACAAAGTAAGTAAACTAAAATTATTTACGGACTTTTGTTTTCTTAGGTGGAATAGTGAAGTGGGTTTTCCCTTCGGTGTTGCCCAGGATTTATGATGACCAAAATGATTAGATTAGGTGGAATAAGCTGTTTAATTTTGGCCTTTTTCACCAAAAATCCTTTGTTACATGGACTTGTTATTCACATTGTTTGGGTGTTACCTTTACAGCCTCTTCATCACGCGGCAAGAGGTGAACATGAAGATGTTATAAGATTGTTGCTAGATTCTGGTGCTTCTCCTACAAAGGCAAACTTATATGGGAAGGTTAGTGTACTAAAGGATTTTTATGATGCCGTTCTTTCGTTCTGTCATCTTTTAGTTTCTTATTGGTAATTATTTGGCAGATCCCAAGCGAGCTAGCTGATCCTCACACTGAGGCTAGGAGAATCTTGGAAGCTGCTGCTAATGCTAATGCTAACGCTAATGCTTAGGCTTGCCAGTCACCTTGACCTGATAGTTGAAAATATTAAACCTTTTTGCTTTTGGGTGCTGTTTTTAGTTGTTTTCATAGTTAGGTTACAGCAAGTTTTAGATGCAGAGAAATATTTTCTTTCTACTGCTCTCAGAACCCTAAATGGAAGAAGGGAGCAGATAACTATTCTATACATCTTATTTATGAGGGAATATACTTAATATAAACAAATTCTTATATAAGTGATAGTTTTTTCCTTTGTCATATTTGATGTATGCTTGACAATATTCATTTGAAATCAGTAGTTAATATTGACACCTGGCTTTGCGTTACCATAAGCCATTTCAGGTTTCAAAATTTTATGGTTGCTTGGATGCCTGAAGCTTTTGAAATTCATGGAGATGACAATGAATGTATGGAATTTCTCCAAACCTGCAAATGGTGTAATTTTAAAGCCAACTTATAACTGAGTTGAGCTTGGTCAGTGCAAGAATCTCTTACTAGGGAACGGGCAGAATAAAATAGTTTAAGCACTTAAAGAGGAAGGCTTCGTTTGGTTGCATTTTGGGAATACTACTTTTAGTATTCTCAAAAAAGTTAAACAGTAAAATACCCAAAGACTCTGGGCTTCGTTTGGTTCACAATTGGGTGTTTTTGGGAAAAGTTTTCTGAAAAAAGTTAAAAAAAAGTTGAATTGGGCGGGTATTACGATGTAGGATTTATAAATTAATAAAATACCCCCTATATTTGTTTATTTACAAAACACCCCCTATAATAAAATCTTAAAAGTTAACAAAAACACCCCCAACCCAATGTCAAATACGGACAGCTGGCCACCACCGCCGGAGGGTGGCCGGATTCACCGTATTGGCGCATGACCGGTTGGATCTTGCCGGCCGTGCGCCGATATGGCCTTTACCGGCCATATCCACGGTGGATCTGGCTGACAAAGGCCAGATCTACGGCCAGATCTGGCCGTCAACGGCCAGATCTGGCCTTATTTTCTCGTCAACGACGACCAACAAACGGTCGTCGTTGATGGTCAACGACGACCGTTTGTTGGTCGTCGTTATAAACCATTACGGCCAGATCTTTGGCCTTAGATCTGGCCTTTTCCGGCCAGATCCACCGTGGATCTGATCGGAAAAGGCTAGATCGGCGTACTACTGGCCATATTCAGCCGGTAGTGCGCCATCCTAACAGATTCCGGTCATTTTCCGGTGGTGGTGGCCGGAATCTGGTAAATATGAATTACTGGGGTGTTTTTGTAATTTTAAAAAAAAATATTTAGGGGTATTTAATTAAATTATCAAATTTAAGGGGTTTAAAAAAAGTTGAATAATATTAGGAGTAGTATTCCCAAAAATCAAAGTTTTTAGGTATTTTACTGTTTAACTTTTTTGGGAATACTAAAAGTAGTATTCCCAATTGGCAACCAAACGGAGCCCTGGTTTTTGGGAATACTACTCTCAATATTATTTAACTTTTTTTAAATCTTTTAAATTTGTTAATTTAATTAAATACTCCTAAATATTTTTTTTAAAATTACAAAAATATCTCAGTAATCCATATTTACCAGATTCCGGCCACCACTGTCGGAAAATGGTCGGAATCTGGTAGGATGGCGCACTATCGACTAAATCTGATCGGTAGTGCGTCGCTCTAGCCTTTTTCGACCAGATCCACGGTGGATCTGGCCGGAAAAGGCCAGATCTTTGGCCGTAACAGTCGGTAATCAACGACGACCGTTTGTTGGCCGTCGTTGACAAACAAATACGGTTAGATCTGGTCGAAAAAGACCATATCGACGCACGATTGACAAGATCCAGTCAGTCATGTGCCGATACGGTGACTCCGGCCACCCTTCGACGGTGGTGGCCGACTGTCCGTATTTGAGGGTGGATTGGGGGTGTTTTTGTTAACTTTTAATGTTTTATTATAGGGGGTGTTTTGCAAATAAACAAACATAGGGAGCATTTTATTAATTTATAAATCCTACATCGTAATACCCGCCCAATTCAACTTTTTTTTTAACTTTTAAAAAAAAACTTTTCCGAAAAACACAAAATTGTGAACCAAACGGAGCCGAAATTTTTTGGTCCTAGTGGTATATGTCAGACCACCCAAATGTGGCCAGCTTGTCCCGGCACTACCAATGTTGTGCTTCATACGAAAAATAATACAAATGCAAATATTTTATAACAGCTTTTCATACAAATTAATTTATGGTGCTATAATTATTTTTTTTGAACATATTCTCAAGCACGTAAACCATTATCGGGCTTGTTTGAGCTTTGCAATTAAAATTTTTCGGTGATATAATATCAAATTGCATTTAAATTGCGATTAGTTCTTTTATTTATTTATTTATTTTGAACGAGAGCTAGTTTACGTGCATTTAAACTAATCTCTTAGAACTCTGAAATTAATGATCGAGTAAGAGCTTTAGTTGCTATCCTTATTAGCAATTGAAGAGGAACTTGAATTCAGAACGTTTTGAATAATATACTTGTTATGCCTAAGAAATCAGAGCTAACGCAAGCTTACGTTAGCAATGACTAATCAGAGTTCAAGAAGGCAATGTGTTGCCTAGGTGTTGCCACGTCATCCAAGCATGGAAGAAGTAAGGCTGTCATAAACTTGGTAGGTAAAGATTTGGTTTATGAGTGGCTGGGAGTCGCCCACGTGCCCAAGCCATGCGCGATTTAAGGATATCTCCTGTACAATCAGCCAATGGAAAGCAGGGTAGGAACTGTACAATACCTGCCCGCTTACAGATTTGTAATCATTACCTAGAAATCTCTTATTATAAATAGAGGACTTTCCTCTAATTTTCAGGATTCTAATAACAAAAAACACTTACTCTCCCTCTCTGTATTTCTACTTTCTGATCGCTATACGCGACCTGATTGTAATCTCTCATTTATAAAAAGGCAGTGGATGTAGGATTCGCTTTAAGCATCTGACCCACTTTAAAAATCATCTCCTATTTATTTATTTCATTTCTCATTCACGTGTAATTTCTAAGTCACTTTAGCACTTTGTACGTGCAAATAGTTGGTGTAAAAAATCAAGCATCAACAGTTTGGCGCTAGAAGGAGAGCATGCTTTAGTATCCGCTCTTCATCAGGAATCTTTGATAAATCGGTTCTGTTCGCTAGTAAATGGCTCGTGGTTTTGAAATCAAGCGAGCTAGCCTCAGCAACGAGGAGATTCCTCGGGTACAAGATGACACTTCTCCCAAAGTGCCCTTGATTCAGCAAAGTACTGCAGCGGACATTCCTTTGAGCTCACAGCTCGACTCGGCTGTGATGGATTACCTGGAAAGGTTCAATAATACTCTCCAAACGGTTAACCGAAGGTTAGATCATTTGGATCAAGTCATACCACCCGAGTCCGACAAGGTGGTGCCACCGCCAAAGACGATTGTAGGTCACGCTAAAGTGCAGAAATGGGCAAAGGCCCATGCCGCACATACTACAGCGTGTAAAGACAAGGGAAAACAGGTGGTAGGTAATGGGTCAAAGGGCTCTAAGGGGCCAGCGAATACCGATTGTGAAGCAGGTAGAATACTTGTGGCTTTGCGACTTGACAATATGTCACATCATGAACTGTCCCTCGCCATATCGCATGGCACCCCCACAAGAGTGCAAGGCAAAGAGATTCCCATTATCGCCAGAAGGATGACCTCGACTATCATCATGAGGGGAACCCCTACCATCCGCGGGTTGGTTTAGACCACCGTGGAGGTTGGGATAACTCCCCGAACCATTCATTGCCTTCACACGGCTCTAGTCAGAGTGTGTCAAGGTATGCTAAAGCTTCCGGCCAAGGTGAGGAAGAGTTCGACCTGCGGTCTTTCCTCAACTGTAATCGTGAGGGTCAAACCCACGTTATGGAAAGTGATCCTCATATAGCTCTGCTGCCTCAGATTGAGGAGCTACAATGAGCTCTGGATCAGTTTAGAGCTTAGCAAAATGAGCATGGGCAGGTCGCTAATGCGTCTCTCTTTTCTCCAGCAGTGTTAGCTGCTCCTCTCCCGTCAAGGTTTAAAATGCTCGATATGCCAGCATTCTATGAAAATTCTGATCCGCAGGATCATCTCTATGAGTTTAACGACCTCATGGAGCTTCACCAAGTTTTCAACTTGGCCAAATGTCGCTCTTTGGCAGTGACTCTGACCGCCAACACCAAGCGTTGGTTTAGATCGCTTCCGCCAGGATCTATTAACTCGTGGCAGCAGATGAGCTCGTTATTCTTGAGACACTTCCACGTGAATAGGAAGTTCTCAATGTCGTTGAGCTATCTAAGCAACATACGGCAGGAGGAGAATGAATCCTTCCAGTCCTACATTGATAGGTTCCGCAAGGAGCTGCACAAGGTGGCTAACACACCTGAAGAATCTGTTCAGACTCTCATTGTTACAGGAGTTCACCCATAGACCGACCTATGGAAAAAGCTGCAATCCGAGGATGACATTTCCCTCACCTACTTCTACGACCTGACTAAGAAGTACCTCCGAATAGAGAATTTTGTAGCCGCTCTTAATTGCCACGGCCTTGGTCCTTCGACCAGTGCTCTTAAACGAGGAGAGGGTAGTAGAAGAGTTGATCGCAGATGGGCTAATGGCGATTAATGGAAGGGAAAGAAACAACAATTTGAGCCCAAGATATCTTATGCCCAGGTTCCTCGTCACGACTACGACAAGAATCAGTACACTTTTATGAACGCATCAGTATCGACTATTTTGGATAAGTCAGAAGAGGCCAACTTACTCCAAGAGCCGGTGCCCATGAAAAACCCCCCTTCTGTAAGAAACATGAAGAAATATTGTCATTATCATCGGGATAATGGGCACCACACTGATAAGTGTCGGGCTCTCAAGCAAGCAATCGAAGACCTCATTAAACAGGGGCACTTTAAGGAGTATGTTGATGGCCTGACTCCTATTTAGGAAAGGATCAAGGGGACCAAGGGAAGAAACACTGTGGTCTTAAGGGTCTCTACTTCGTGGGAATCATTTTTGGAGGACCGCACCTCGCGGGGAATTCTCAAGGTGCTTAGGAAATGTATGCTTGGGAAGCTCGCCTTGATTTCGTGAGTGTGATGAACACGACGTCGCGACCTACTAAGGTTTGTAGAGAAGAAGAGATTACCTTCTCAGAGAAAGACGCGATGCGATTGCATCATCCCTATAAGGATGCACTCATCATCGCACCTAAAATAGGTCAGTGCGAAGTCCACAAGACACTAGTGGACAATGGTAGCACTGTAAA